GACTGGAACGAAAAGCTAGGCGAGAGCCTGTGGGCATATCGCATGACGGTTCGCACGCCGACTGGCACCACGCCCTACTCATTGGTATACGGCTGTGAAGCTGTATTGCCATTAGAGATTCAGATTCTATCCCTCCACGTCGCCTTGGCAACAGGGATGACGGCCGAGGAGAATCACCAACTGCGACTCGCAGAGCTCGAGGTGCTGGACGACAAGCGACTGGAAGCTCAGCAGCACATTGAGTTCTATCAAGCTCGAATGGCCAAGAACTTCGACAAGAAAGTCAAGCGCCGAGCCTTCAAAGAGGGAGAGCTCGTGCTATCCGTCCGTAGACCAATGATCCTCACTTCCAAGAAGAAGGGAAAATTCCAGTCAAAATGGGAAGGACCGTTCGTAGTAGAGACAGTCTACTCGAACGGCGCCTATCGCCTCGTCAAGCCGAATGGTGATAAGATCATGATGCCCATCAACGGCAAGTATCTAAAGAAGTACTATCCTTAGTTCTCCTTCACAAACTCCCATGAGTGCACGAGTCTAAACTGGACCTCACACCCTCCAAATGGTATAAGTGGTAAAACTATTCCTACGCTTCAATTTCTTGAGCCAGCTTGCCAGTACAGGCGAACTGCTCAAATCAGGCGAATCGCTCAGATCAGGCAAATCACTCAAACTAGGCGAATCACTCAGATCAGGCGAGTCAATCATATCAGGCAAGCCTATCAGTCTAGGCGAAGTCTACTTCTTGAGCTAAGCTCCTTGTCTTGGCGAATCTCTCAAGACAGGCGAAACTAGCATCTCTGGCAGGCGACATCAAATGCCCACTTGGTCAAAACTTCAGATAGTTAGGGCCAGAGCCACAGTTCCCCCGCCAATCCTCTTCTAAAGGATGGTGGGTCCTCAAAGTCGTTCCAATCACGACATTCCCTATCACGTTAACATTAAACCTCTGACAGAATCACTCTCCAATCCTCTTCTAAAGGATGGTGGGTCCTCAAAGTCGTTCCAATCACGACATTCCCTGTCACGTTAACATTAAACCTCTGACAGAATCACTCTCCAATCCTCTTCTAAAGGATAGTGGGTCCTAAAAGTCGTTCCAATCGCGACAGTCCCTGTCATGTTAACATTAAACCTCTGACACAATTCACTTGCCAATCTTCTTCGAAAGAATGGTAGGCCCCCACAGTTGCTCCAATCGCGACAAGACCCTATCAAGTTAATGATCACCTCTGATGATTGGCGTCGTTATTCCTACGAATAGCGCAGCCTAAGTAATGGCCTACCACGCGGCGTGCTATTACTTCTGTCAATAGTCATACTCCTACGTCCCTGAACTATTTGACCTATTCCAGATATCCTAACACTCCCTTAGGATAACTGATGGGTAGTGGTCTACCACGCGATGGCTCCTACCATAATCAATTGTCACATTCCCAAATGACGACAATTGTCGAAGGGGGTTCGGCAGATGACCTGTCTGTCGGTTCCCCAAGCAACAACTCGCCGAGAGGCGGGTTGAAGTTGAGCTCTTCAGTTGGCCGCAGGAGCGAACGATTGTTCTTTGCTGCAAGCCAAGTGTTGCTTTCTCGATCCCATTTGAGCTACAACGCAAAGATCGGAGTTAACCCGATCCCACGCTGCGAGCAACAGAAGGCAGAACAAGAACCTAAAACGACTAAGTCTAAAACAGAATAGTCAAAGGCTCGCCAAGTTCAACTCAGATGCCAAACAGCGCAGACAAAGAAAGAGAAAACTGTGCAAGCAAAGTAAGGATAGACAAAACAAGCAAAAGAGCCACAACGGGCCAGAGTTTACATGCATAGGTTTTCAAGTTGTGATGCCTGAGGCACCAACTAAGTTTACAAAACAACAAAAAAAAAAGAAAAGGAAGAGGACCTAGACAGCGAGAGCATCACAGAAATTTCAGCAGGCTAAAAGAGCCAATCTTAGCCTTGACCGCAGCACACTCCGCCGCACGCCGGATCCTCGCCTTCTCTTTTTGCTCCTGCTGCCGCCTAGCCACTTCGCCCGAATCCGCTTCGCCCGATTCTCACGCTCGAGCAAGAGATACAGTGGAAGGGGCGGTGGCACATCGGAGGGATCGTCATGGGCCAATTCCTCGAGGCGGTACATCCACCCCTCCACGCACTCAAGCTCCCGCTCGCATCGCCGTGTGAGCGAGGCATCACCCGCGTGGCGGACCGCCTCTAAACCCGCTTCCACGAGAGGAAGCGCATCGTAATATCGCCCGTCGCCCACGCTGACCGAGAGGGCGATCCCATGCACCAAGCCCACCAAGCTCTGGAGGGGCACGAACGCGGGATGAGCCACGGGGTCCGGAACAGAAGACCCCTGGACCGAGCTCGTAGGGGGAGCAGCCGGAACGCTGACGTCGACGACGGTGGCAGAAGAACCGACGCCCTGGCCATGAGGAAGGGAAGTTTTTCGCGAAGATCTTCTTCTAGCGGATGTTTTCTCGAAAACAGTAAGGACTCTGCTGAGGAGGGACAAGTACGGGTATATATTCAAAAAATCCGACGACTGAGATTCATCACCCCAAGCGATCAAGCAGTCTAGATGTCCTGCTACGCTTCGAACTCAACGTCAATAAAGACCAGTCCTCTCGAAACCCCAAACCGACCGATTGGATTGAGCACGAGAGGTGAAGCGTTCGGTCACTTCACCATTAAATGAGCATTAATGCGCCCGCAGAGGCTTAGCTGGCGGGCACTTAGGTCCGCAGCTGGACGCGTGGCACAAGCTTCGCCCACAGTTGAATTTCTAACTGTTGGACAAACTCACCACCATCCAAATTTCGCCTGTAGTGTGAGCTCGCCATCAATTGAGTTTGATTTTTTTCACAGCTCGAAATCATACGGGTTTCGCCTGCAGCGTAAGTTCGTCAGCAGTTGAGTTTGGCCGTTTACTCGAACTTGCCAGCAGTTGAGTTTAGCTTCCAAGCAAAACTCACCGTGATCGAGTTTTGCCTGCATACAAGCTTCGCCAGCAACGTGAACTCGTCAGGAGCCGAGCTTCACCATCTTAACGAACTCGCCGTCGCCATAGTTTCGCCGATAGTGTAAACTCATCGGAATAAAGTTTGGCCTTGAAAATAGACTCGTCGTCACACAAGAGATTTCGCCTGCGGTACGAGATTGTCAGCAATTACAGAGCAAAACACTGGAAAGCGACATATCCAAAGAGTATACGCACAATGAGCGGACATAAACCTCATTGATGCTTTAAGACAGTACATTTGAACAAAGTTATGGTTTTTGCGATTGCGAAAGTCATAATATTACGTTCAAAGAAGTAAAACATGCACCCAGTGTTTAAGACAATACATTTGAACAAAGTTATGACTTCATAAGCAAACAAGTCATAAACAAAATGTCTTAACATAATCATAAGGCAAAGGTCTCAGTCAAACACGCTAAAAGTGGAGATCTCTTCTTTGGCCGCCTCCACCTTGCTCGCATGGTCCTCCCGAGCTTTTCCTGCAGCCTTCCGAATCCGGTCCTCGCGACTCGACCTGGCGGCAGCATCTGCCTGGCGCAAGGCTAGCAGGCGTCGAGTTTCCGCCTCAGCGTTCTTACTGACCTTAACAACGTCGGACTGGAGCCCCTTCCACTTCGCCTCCGCCTGTCCCAATTCGGCCCTCAGGCGAGCCATAGTGCAATTGAGGTCAATGATTTGCTCCTCTAGAAAATGTTGTTGACCCACCCAAAAGTTGGCGACAGACTCCAAATCCGCTATTTCTTTGGAACGGGTCTCCTGCTCCAGGGCTTCCTGACGCCTGACATGAACCAGACAAGACTCCATGTTGGCTTCCAGACCTTCCCGTAGCAAGGTCTCTAACCTTATCATACGTGATTCCAAGAGACGGAACTCATGCATGCAGCGGGTAGCGAGTCGATTTTTGCCCGATCGCCACAAATCAGCCACGCGATCAAGGAGAGACTGCCTAAAGCTGTCAAAACTACCCATGCCAAGGTCGACAAGGGAAATCACCTGTCTCATAGCGCTCTCAAACTCTTCGATGCGAGCTTGCCAGGACAAGGACTCGAATGGAGCAGGTTCTTGGCCCGGAGCGAGCGCTATAATGGGCGGAATCTCGAGGCAGGGTTCAGCCCCCGACTGGGGAGCGGAGTCTGAAGCGGCGGAGGTCACAGGACCTTCAGATTCGTCGTCCGAAATTAGGATAGGCTCGGCCGCATGCTGCTCGGCAGCCGGCGCCTCCCCTCGATCTGCAAAACACAACAACAACACAGAGAGGAATCAAGGCAAGGATACCTGTTCAACCCACGCAAGAGTCAGCACGAAAAGATACCTTCGGCCGCGGTAGCCTCAGCAGCGCCCGAAGAAGACGGCTCTTTCCTTTTCTTGGAAGCAACCCTCTTCACCTTCGGTGCCATCAGGAGTGTGAGGAAGGAAGAATTTGGGTTTACTCCAAGGGAAGACAATGAAAAGGCCGTAGACCCTCTTGATAGAGAGTAAGGGTGTTAAATACCCTAAGGGCCCTAGGTGGTTACTCAATACTTGATTAGACCGTTCAAAGGCTAAAGCAGTTGAAGGGTAAGGCCGAACAGATCGGATCTTACCTGGACGGACAAGATATGATGGTTCGTGATCACGATCTGCAAGAACGGCCCGAATCGGGCGCGAGGGACGAAGAGGCCCACTACCTCGTATTTAATGCGAAATGACTAGCCCACGTCTCCTTAACCGGCGTACACGTGGATTGGCACGTGGCCCACTGAAAGCGGGACCCCCGCGAATCCGCCTGCGGACAAAATTCACCTGCAGATGAGGTAAACTTGCAGCAGAAAATTGCTGGCAAGAATTCCTCTACAGTTGAGGTTCTCTTACGGCCAAATTCTAATTAACGCAAAAAAAAAATGGAGCACACGCAAGTGACAATAGGCCAAAAACAAAAGGATAATTTCATTCATAGAAAGAAATCCTAGTACAACTGGCAATCAAAGACGAAAAGAGGCAAATTACAAGGCTTTCAACCGCAGTTCCGCCTCACGAATCTCCCTAGCATGGCGTTGCTCTAGCCTCCTCAGAATCTCCTGGCGAAGGTCTTCCTCAGTGCGTGAGGCTACGTCTTGGACGGTCTCTTTGACCTCCCTATAGGCTCGAGCCTTTTCCTCGACGGAATTAGCCGTCAGTTGCTGGCGAGATTCAATGCTTTCCAACTCCTTGACCGCATATTCACGAGCCTTCTCTTGAATGGCCAACGAAGCTTGCGCCTTAGCTATAACTTGCTTCAGATTCTCTACCTCCGAAGACAAGCGAGAAACGCGATTGTCGGCCTTCTGTCGCTCGAAGGCCATTCGTTCGTCCTCAGCCTTGGCCTGCTCCAATTCTGCTGACAATCTTGCCTCCAATGACGTGGTCTCGTTCAGGCGGCGATCGCGTTCTTCCACCGCTGCTCGGACTTCGCCAGTTTCGAGATCCACAAGAGTGGAACTCTTCGCGCGAAGAGCAAGCAATCGTTGATTAGCTTCCTTCACTTCCTCCTTACGCTGGAAGTAGGGCTTCGCCGCAGTATGGCCAAGCCTCTTGATTAAGAAGCTCACGATGTAGTCGAGATCCTCTTCAAAATTCTCGAAGGGACAACTCTCCTCCAAAGCGAGCTTGATGCAGCCGGCTAGAGTGTCTCGGAAATCAGTCACAGATCGTGCCGCACTCCTTCTTCGCTCACGCTCCAAGGGAGAGAGGGCAGCCTCCTCCGCCATGGAAGAAATCCCAGTTGGAGCGCCTGTGGTCATAACCGTAGAAGCAAGGATTGGCGCCGCCAAAGCTGGCGTGACCAATGACGCCCTCGGAGCAGTGGTCACAGCATCAACGGCCGCCGCCGACAAAGAAGTGGTCACTTGCGGAGTAGAAGTCTCCCTTTGAAGCGGAGACTCTTGCGCTGATGGAAGATCCCTAACCGACGCTTCCGTAGGAGCAGGAGATCCCTCTATTTGGCTGGGCGCATCCTCACGAGCCAACACCTCTTCCTCGCTGGATAACGTCTCATGAATCGAGACGTCGTCGTCCCCCTCAGATTCACTCATCTCCCCAGACGAGCGACCCGCCCAAGAAAGAGGATCCTCCTTGCCAGCAATTTTGGGGGCGCGATCAGCTACGAATGTACGAAGAGGATTAACAGAGGCCCCTCGAAAGGGACCCTATTAACAGTTGGGCACGGAAGGATGAGCAATACTAAAACCTACGCTTACCTGAGCCTGTGGTCCCCTCGTCATCTCCAGCTTCCTCCTCTTCGTCAGAAGGAATGGAGATCACCTTCTCAACCGCACCTGCATAGGCCCAATACAAGTGTCAAAAGGTGTAAGACCAACGTTGTGATCAAGGGTGCTGTTGCGAAGACTACCTCCTGATTCGGACACGGAAGTCGCTGGAACTCCCGCCTGTGGGCTCACGACAGATTGCGGAGGGGCGTCCTTCGAAGTCGCTGGAACTGCCCCCGATGCGGCAGAAGAGGCGGGCAGCACGGCTCTAGACCCAGACGTCGCCACTCCAGGGACGCTTGCCTGGGAAACATTATCCTGGCCTTCTGCCGCTCGGGCGGTCTCGACTGTCGCCCCCGCTCGGGAACTCTCGGTCGCTGCCTCCCGCTGACGCTTCGAGAGAAGCGAGCTACTCGGAGACAGAAGAGGTGTCCCCATCTGTCCAATTGTCGGACTCTGGACCTGTCTTGGGTGTTCAGATTCTCATGGTTCACCAGGGGCATCCAACGAAGGACCAAGTGGAGGAACTCGAACCTCGGGAGCCTCAGATTCGTTTAAACCGGCATCAAAACTCTCGGTGTCCTCCACTAGATCCTCTGAGAATAGATCCCTAGCAGTTTGGTGGCCCCTTTGCCTTAAAGAACAGAGAGCCCCCCTGAGAGGACGATCGCGTTCCGCCAGACATGAGCTCCGGAACCAGAAACCAGCGGGGTTAGCACTGGCGCCCCGATACCACCGGCAGTATAGAAGCGTGTGATGCAAATCGTGATCCTTCGTGGGTAACTCAAAACGAGCCTGGGTACCACTGGCATGGGTCCAGAACCACCCCCGAGCTCCATCCACCAGTCCTCCTTCGAAGTGTAGGCGGGGATTGGCGTTGCCCACGTACAATTGGTCGTACCCGAACTGACGGGCGAACCTGCAGGGGATATACGGCTCGAGATAGCACACAGAGCCTGTGCGTAGAATGTGATCCCCCGGCCGAATATTCACCAACCATTGAAGAGCGCCACGTGAGAGAGCTGTGGGGCGGTCCGCCGTCGGCACGTCCCTAATAGACTCGCCGTATCTTCCTCCGCTGAAGTAAGGGAAGAAGCGATGAAAATTGTAGTGGACAAAATGGGAGAGCGTCTTCCGCGTATCGGGAATGTCTTTACACTTCCAAGAGCTCCTCTCCAAACGCTCAAGGAACGGAACGAACCTGTCTCTTTGAAGAGTCGCGGGAACGCTCATCAAACACTCACAGTAGTAAACAAACCACGCCATCAAGTAGGTGTATGGCAGCCCCACTCTGGGATTGGGAGTCCTGATGACCTCAAGTAGGTGTATGGCAGCCCCACTCTGGGATTGGGAGTCCTGATGACCTCTCCATTCCCCTCGTCGGTAATCGACACACGACAGAATTAGGCCGTCAGAGTGCGGAGCCCCCGGTGGATACACGCTATCATCGCCGATACCAGGGAATAGGACTTCCCGTGGGCTAAACAAACCGCAGGATACACGACCTCTACGGGAATAGCCTCAAAAGAGTGAGTGGGGATTACGTACCTTTTGAGCCACAACATGAGAAACCCTGCAAGCAGAGCCTTCCCAGAGATAGGGGACATGGCCTGGTGGTGGAACGAATGGAAGACCGTTCCAGATTTGAACCCGCCCTTGTCATGATCGAGAGCTATGGTGGCTTCCTCTTCAGCCATCCTCCTTTCCACTTCAGCCTGGCCGCACCCGCCTAGAGGAAGAGCAGCACTCCCTTTGACGTCGTTCCCCGGGAACAGATAGTCAGCCCAATTCTTGTGACTGATCCCCGGAGTCCTCTTCTTCTTCCCCTTGTGATCCCTAGCCCCTAAAGTGTTGAGGCAGATATAATAATGGCAGAGCAACTCCCACAGAGTTTCCACTACCAAGGGGGAACAGTCGGAAAGCTGGTCGATCTCATCTTGGTCTGGGACGTACTCCTCGTAAGGAAAGTCCCCCAGGGGTAGCCCTGACACGTCATACATCTCGTGAGGGAACATACCGAGTTCACCGTTGGGGGTGAAGAAGGTGCCGCTTTCCGCACAGTACAGTTCTAGGATGCTGTGGAACTGAGAGGCATTAATCCTCAAACCATGTCGAGTGGCTTGAATGGCCACATACAACTCCGAATTCTTGAGGTCAGAATTCTCGGCCAGGATGTAGTCGGTAATTTTGGACCACCAAGTATCGCTGCCCGGCGCAGAATATACCCACCCAGGGGCTCTGAAGTCCTTTGGGGGAAAACTCCCACCTACTCGAAAGAAACGGTGATGGAAGGTCTCTGCTACCGCCGTCGACTCCCCTACAGGCGGCTCATTAGACAGTAGGCCAGGGCGCAGACCCGTCACGCGCTTACATGAGCCCTCCACCCAATATCCCGCCGTGGAGCATGTAAAGACACCACAGGTGACCCCGTCCTGAGTGGGGGTCAAGTCCCAGTTCATCACTCGAGGGACCGCGAAAGACCGTAGCCTGACGATCAGAACCCCCTCGGCATGACGGGAAGGTAATAGTGAGTCCCCTCCACTATGCGCAACCACCTGCTCTCCTTGAGCAGCAGAGCGGAGGGATCAGTGACAGAATCACCAAACAAAAACTGGGGCTTCGGCAGCTCCACCCTGTCCTCGTCTGTCAACACCGCGTCAGTGGTCAACTCACGCAGCGTTAAGTGATACCCATCGGTGACTCTCCTTGTCGAACCGACCGGCTTATCGGCAGAGAACACGGGCACCGGACCCAAAGAAGGAAACCGGGGAGGCGTTGGATTACCCACACCCCCGGCAAGGCCGGTGGCCACGCCCTTCGGGAGGGCTTGGTCGGAAAAGGTCGCTGCAAAACAAAGTCAAGTAAAATCAGGAGGCAGATATAGATCCGCCTGTCAAGGAGCGAAATTCGCCCGACATGACGAGATCCGCTTTCATAAGCCACATTCGCCTTTACGAGATGAAAGTCGAACTCGCCTGTCAAAGACGAGTTCACCTTCGCCTGATAAAGATCAATCTCGCCTATAAAGGTTGGAATCGCCCAACACGGATGAAGGTAAAATCTGCCCGAAAAGGGGCAGTTTTACCAAAATCACGGGGATTGCTAAAAGACGACCTAACCCACCAAGGCAAAATGAGCAGTGCTCATCTTCCTGGCAAGACAGCAGTGACCAACGCAAGAACATTAAAGCAAACTTTTTTAACTTACCCAAGCGCGCCTCAGGCACATTGGCGGTCACACCAGCGTCCAGGCGGTCGGAGTAGCGTCCGGGACCCTTTCCCCTCACTTTACACCTCTTGGATTTCGGCGCCATTGAAACGAAGCGGGAATTCTTTCTCTTTGGGGAGGTTTTCACACACAGTAACTTTCAAAAAGAGGAGAAGGACGAAATCTATTTAAAGGCGAAAGGGCTTGCGTAACCCCGATGGCACCTGCAAAGCAAGACACTCGCGTTCAAGAGACGTGGCCTCGATCGAAATCGACGGCCCAGATCGCCCTTCACAACTCGTTATACAGTTGCGAAAGAGCCATTAAAAAGGGGAACGGGCCGGCCAAAGCCCGAGACCCGAGCCAAAACCCACGACTTGATCTAACGGCCTGGTTCGAAAACCACGGCCACGATGCGTCATGGGGCAAAACACGCGAAACTGACATCATGTTGTCAAGTCACGATCGCCACGACCCGATGGGACCGCGCCGCCTTAGCTGGGTAGCACGAAGCCTTATCGGCAGATACGTGGCTCATCTCCCATCTAATCTGGTTCCGCCCCAAAAAGGAGGGGTCTCGCCCGCGAATATTTGGCCTTACCCCACGAGTCGCATGAAATTTGGCTCCCAAAGACTAATTTCGCCTTGACGATTCATTCGCCCTTAAAGGTAAAATTACAAACGAAGCCAATAGAATGACCTCGCTTAAACGGTTAAACCCACGCCTCAGACGGCTAAGGGTCAGAGCAGAAATCTTAGCATTAAGCCTAAGAGAAACTGTTCGGCAACTCATCATACTGAGGGGAATAGTATGGCTAGCCCAATTCAAACGGTGATCGGTTAAGGCACATCAAACCCGTTGATAGTTGAGGGTTTGCTAAAAATCCTAAAAGAAACCCAAAGGCACTTGCTTCGCCAAGATTTTCTTCATTCAAAGTATTCCAGACCCCACGCAAGCCAGTTTAGGTCTAAAAACTTTGAAGGGGGTCTTGTAGATGGTAAAAAAATACCTCTGATAAGCCTACAGGAAATTCGCCCACAAGAAGTTGCCTGCCTAAGCCGCATGGTCGTCAAACGTGCTCGATTCCAGATTCGCCTGAATAATCGACTCGCCTGCACGAGTTGAGATCAGTTGGAATAGCGGAAGTTCGTCTTTCACGCAACTCGCATGCCCGAGTCCAAAGTCAAATCCGCCTGCAAATCTCAAGGCCGCCCGCACCCGTTACCCTACGTGCTAGGATGGGCCTTCCCATCTCTCTCTCTCTCTTGACCCAAAGGGAGAGGGCACAGTACCCCAAGACCGTCAAGCGGCAGCTCACAGCACGCACAGTACGAAGGACTGGACAGGTGTCCGAACGAGGGGACAAGAGCCGCCGGCGCTCGGTGGTTGGTCAGATCCACATAAGCATCTGACAGCCGCTGTCACGCATACGAGGAGGGGCTTTCCCACTCTTACGTAGCGTGATGCAGAACGCAGCCCTTCGAATGACCACTGACGGTACGAACGAACAGCAAGACATCCCTGGACAATGTATGGTCACATCCCATAATTCAAGGAGTAGTCAAGCTGTCCTTCTTCCATTTAAAAGCCCCTTCCAGCACACTGTGAAGAAGGTCGAAAAACTTGGAGAAAAGAGTTGAGACCCAGCTGCTCGCATAATCTTTGCATTACAGCACCACTGCCTAGTTCCGATCTCCGATCGCCGGCGAACTAAGCAGACTCGAACTCTTTCGACTCGAGCTTCTACTGCGTACTGAAGCTCTCTAGCAACCCCGGTCGAACGGTCCAAGGGAAGCAGACTCGACCCGAACATCGAGCGAAGCATCCTATAGCCACCTAAAGTCCCCACACAAAACAAAGAGGGCATTCCCTCTGCTTCTGTTGTAAACATTTGATTATTAGTTTGTAATAAGCTTTCTTATTAATACAAACGAAACTCCCTGTTTTCGGGAAATCAAATTTTCACCCTACAACAATGAAAGAAAAATTGACTTGTATTCCTCTCAAAATCAATTACAATTTGGATTCCGATTACAAAAGAGAGGAGAATGAATTTGATTCTCCCCTTTGTTTAAAACCGGTTTCTTCACAGTGGCGATGGAGTGCCTCCCTCGAATGCTCGTGTCGAGTTTTCTCTCCATTGACGATCCGTACGACTTGATTCACTGGAACGTGGTCTTCTCCTCACGATTTGACGCTGTGGGAGGACTTGCGTGGCAAGTCTTAGATA